TGTGTGCATTTGCACAGGCGCATTTAAGTTGGGCCCACGATGAAGCTGACTCCCTGGCTGGAATTCCTTTGTGCTGCTCTTCAGGTGCTCTCCTGCTGATGTGATCCTTGATCCTTCTCCAGGCTCTGAGCATCTATTGCTGGCACTGGCAACCAACTGGTAGGAGTGGGATGGATTGAGGCTCCCCTCCCCCAGCAACTTTATTTTAAAGCCCTCTTCACCAGCTTGGCAACCCTATGACCGAAGATGCTCTTCCCCTTCTCTGACAGGTGGATCCCATCAGCCCCCAGCAGACCAGGTTTCTCAAAGCGAGTCCCATGGTCTAAGTAGCTGAACCCCTGGCTGTGGCACCTGTCCTGTAACCACTTGTTGATCCGCCAGATTCCACTGGCCCTTTCGAACCCCCTTCCTTTGACTGGGAGAATTGATGAAAAAACTACCCGCGCTCCAGAGTCCCCTACTGCCGCTCCCAGGGTCGGTAATCCTTCTTAATACTCCTCAGACCGCTCTTGGCTGTATCATTGGTGCCCACGTGAAACAACAGCAGTGGATAATAATCAGTGGATTGTACGAGGCTTGGTAGTCTCTCGGTAACATCCCTTCATTCAATGAGCTTTAGTTTGCACCAGTTCTAATGCTTTTTTAAGCAATCCCTATATACAATGAGGAGTGTCTCCCTAGATATGCTTACGCACACATACACTGAAAACAAATTTATAAAAATATATGTAGCAAACAATGATTTTTAAAATGTGCAATTTTTATAGGCTCATTAATGCTGAATACCCTGCTTTCCAATTAAATGGAATTTACACAGAATGTTAAAAAGCTGAAATACAAAATGTACCTCTATTAGGATGCCAGACCAGCAAAAATAATTGAGTAATGAAGTAAAATTCAAGTTCTTTACATCACCCTCAAATGAGTGATGTGTATTAATCTGAAAGGAAGCCTGTTTCTCTAAAATACAATGCTATTTAGGCTAGATACAACTGGATATTTAAGGAGGATTTGTTGTGAGTTAGAGATTGTCATAACGATCAAGTGTGTGTAGCATGCAATCTGTTCTGAATTACTGGAGAGAACAACATTCAAGACCAGATCCAAAACAACTCATGATATGTTATTTCATATTATTGTGGTTGGTTTTTTTGCAGAAGACCAAATAAAGAAATACTGCCTGTGAAATAAAAGACTGTAACTCCGTGCCAATGATTTGAACTGAAAACTAAAAACTAACCTCAAAACACTTTTCCTTCTCTGCTCGATGCAGAAGTTCAGTCATTCCGGGTAAGAGTACTGGAAATATGTAATACTCTAAGTATTCTCGAGTAGAACCTGAGCAAAACAGTACAGTCTTCACTTACAGGTAAGCACTTAGATTTCACAAAAAGACAAACATTAGATATCATAAACTAGGTATCAGTCATTTTATCAATACCATCACAGCTTGAACTAAACAGATTCATTCAGTTCAGGTACAGCCACGGATCTGTCTTCACTTCTCTTCAGCCAAGACAACATAAACTTGAGTAAATTTCAAACTAAAGGTGCTTCAACACTGTGAACTACAGTGTGCCTCAGAGATGTCAGACTTAGTTTTAAATGAGTAAACTCAGATACCAGAAGCAGTTTAGCCACAGAAATGAAAAGCAGTGTGGACTAATTTACCCTGACAGAAAGAAAAGTAAATTAGCCTGCACTGAACTCAGTGCTGTTATAGGTAGACCATTTTTGGTATCTATACTCATGTCCTTTTACAATCTGCAGTAACAGAGTTGGTTGTAAAACTGAATTTCTAGACAGAGGAAAAAACAAAGCTTACATTTCAGTGGTGCTGTGATTTCTTTCTCATAATTACTTCCTACTTGCCAGATCCTTCAGAAATTTGAACATGACTCCATATACCAAATTTTTGCACCTTGAGAAGGTTGTGTGGGTTGGCATCTCTCTCTTATGTTTGACTGCACTGCACTTACGTGAGGTCTACCTACCATACTTCCCATGTGCTCACCCACACTGGCATCACTGAGTTCCACGCAGAAGAAAGCAGCTGCGGTCAGCATCACCAAAAAAACAGTGGTGCTATTGCCCATGCTCTACATATAGCCTAATGGCTACATGCTTGCTCAACTGAGAGACTCAAGCTGTTTCCTTCTCAGCTTTTCCTCACATCTCCATCTTCCTTAATGGAACCTTTCACCATCAACTTATAAACTGGGCTAAGTGGAGAAGCCTTCTACGTCTTCTGATGAAGACACTTCACATGGAGGAACTCAAATTCACTGGGCCAGAGAGAAGAGGGAGCATGATCCTGTATGAAGCCGCAAGAGCACTTCCCTCAGAAAGGTGAACAAAACAAAACGGGTTAGGATCCCAGGCAAGCAGAGGTGGCTTATCGGCTGAAGTGCTGTCCTTGATTTAAAGTCAGATTGCCTGCCATTCAGTAAGTATTCAGGTTTTGGTGTGGTCAGTAAAGATTAAGTCATAGAAATGTTCTCTTCTGGCAAGACAGATGAAACACTGAATTTATTCTCTGCTTTATACCTTTAATTGGTTCATATACTGCCAGAAAATGTTCATAATTGGAAGGACACTATATACATAAAAGCCAAGGGTAACACTGCTTCTGACTAGCAACCGGAATTCCTAATGAGTAAGAATGAATGGAAGAGAAGACGAAAAGGAGGGCTAAAATGCATAATAAAAATACATTGCTACTTGGTAAATTTTATAAAGTATAGAAATCGATAAAAATGGAAGAACAAAACTTTAGAGCTGTTTCCATTCTAATTTGTAATCAGACGGGCAAAGATAATATTTTGAAAGTAGTTTTCAAACTCAATTGTCTATTTAGTCTATTGATCCTAGTTTCGCATTATTAAATTAGAAGAAGAAATGCTTGCCTTTCTCTGATTTAAGCGGCTAAATAAAAAGTCATTTAGTCAGAAGAGAACAGAAGTACCTAAACAGCTAGACAATGCTACTGATTTGTAATGCATCATTTGAGCTTTCTTCCATTGACCAAGTGGCCAAGCTGGCTCCCTCTTTACAGACCAGGGGACTAATCATGCAAATTCCACTTAAGAAAACGTGTCATAGCTGTTAACACTTTACATTCAACAAATGACAAACCCTTGCCAAATGTAAGAAAAATAATCACAGCAGGGTTCAAGATAATATGCCCCTACTTACATGTTTTTGGATCAGGTGGTTCTGGAAAGGGGGCTGCCTCGGGTATGGGAAGCAACTGTTGGACAACAGTATCAGCTGCAGCGGCTGAATAAAATTGTTCCATACGTAATGGCTGCAATATTCCTGCTTCCAAAGACACCTGTTCGAGATAAATGTAACCTATATAAATACCCTAATCACACTGTAAAAAAATATAGAAGCCAATTCAACAGGAAAAATTTTAAGGCCAGTTAAAAAATATGGAATTATAACTTCTAATTCAAATATTAAATTATTTCCATATTTTCTGAGTACTTTAAAAGAAAGAACTACACTTTAAAAAATTCTGCAGTTTCCAGCACAATAAAAACATCCAAACCTAACAGAAGGTAAATGACTGCTTTTAAGAGAATATGGTAAGATATCACAATTTAAAAAATATTTTAGCCATTGTAAGAAATAGTAATTCTTTGAAAATTAAAACTGGCAACATTTTCTGAATAAGTATTTTTCTACTCAGAAGCTTATGTATTTGTTTCTGTGTTGTTCAGAAGTCCTGACACTCACCTTTTAAAGAAAAGGAACTTTCCTTCTAAACAAAGCGCAGACAGACAAATTCAGAGCAGATGCAAATCCAAATCTTAAGTTTGCCCATACAGAAACAATTATGGATACCATGAAAAAAATAGTCCACAATTTTACATATAGTTTTTACGAGTGCAGGAACTGTTACAGTGAGCCAGCAGAATAATCCTAACAGAGACTGAGCTACACCTGTCATAGAAAGGCAGATACCTCCTATTATCCCCAAGAATGCACCACCATTACAGTTTGCTATAAAAACATGTTATGAAAACTATGTCATCTGAACAGTTTCACTTTAAAATTCAGTTGGATTTATGAGCTACTGAAAAGCAGGTGGTGGGATCAGGCCACTACACTTATAATACACTGCAAGTCAATGACCGCAGAGATTTTCCTTTTTAATATGTGCAAGATTCAAAAAATGATCCTTCTGGAAATTAAAAAAACAAAAAAGTTCATCAACATAAAAAGGTATATTATTTCATTTTAATGCTCAAATATATCAATATATTATGCCCAGACTAATGCCCCAAGCAGAGTTCACTATTCAAATTTAATAACAGCCTGTAACAAAGCCAGTTTCATTTGGGGAAACAGGATAGGCCTAAACAGACCAACTGTCAGACAATTTAAACTACAACGTCTTAAAATTGTTTTAAAATAACAAAGTAACCTAAATACAGAATAATAACACAAAATGTCTACAGAAATGCCTAATTTAAATAAAAGTTAACTCTGTATGTGGTGCCCAAAAGAATTAATTTTGCTGCTCCTAGAACTGCTGGGGATAAAGATTTAAAGCAGTTTGTCTTTCTTAAGTTTTTAAGTCTGCCAAACAAGTCTTCATAGACTAAATTTATTTGGTCAAAATTAGACTTCAAACAACTTTGATCAGGTTTAATTCCACTAATTTCAATGGCTACATCTAAGTGACCTATCACATATGTGAAATTGCGACATAACCCCTTCGCTGCACTTCCTCGCCTCTCCTGCGTATTTCAGCGCTCAGTCTGCTTGCAACACCCCCCAAAGGAGAGCCTTGCATACTTCAGACTCCTGCCTACGAAGCAGACAGTCACAGAAAAAAAGACGGCGAGATGTACAAAGCAAACACAGCTGGTAATCTAATTTTAGCACAGCGCTACCCAAGTTGCTTTAAAGAAAAGCAATGATCTGGAATATTACATTTGTTGATTCACAAAAGTTGTTTGCAAAATGTAGTTTTGTTTTCATTTTATGAATGAGTCTACTCTGCGGGTACCTAATTTTCCCATTTAATTATTTAAAATCTTTTAAAACTAGCCTTTTACAGATTTTTTTTTACTTAAACTATACTCACAGATCCATGTTTTGATTCAGGAACATCTGGAAATTGAGGCTGTTCGGCTTCATACTCTAAAAGTAAAAAGAAGTACAACATTTATCCAGAAGACTTTAAAAACATATTTATTTTTCTCCTAAACAAACATTAGTTTCTAAAAGTACTTATTCTGGTTTGAAACAATAAAAATTAGTATACAATAAATATTTATTTAACATGAAATCTAATGTTTTAAAACAAGTGAGAACTTTAGAGCCTCTTGTCTTGGCTTTAAGTCAAGTTCAAGGTTCTCAGTGATAAAAGAACCCTTTATTGGGAAAAAAAAATTTAACCAAAATAATTTTAAATACTTTAATGTAAATAAAATGCAGATGCTTGCATGGAATTAACCATTGTCTTTACTAGTATATAATAGTGCTTTTCAACTTGAATTCCTCTATAAGTAATTAAATCCACAGGACATTGCTAAGTATTACTTTCTCCACTTTCAAAAAAAAAAAAAAAAGAAAAAAGAAAAGCAAAGGCAGTACATGACCCACAGAGATTACCGAGTGAATCAGGATAAGAAAGGAGGAGGACAATGGACTCAATATGAAAAAAACTTAGGTTACACAATACAGAAAATTCTTACAGCCAAACTCAGCAGGTTTACCATTCTACCATTATAACTAGGGAGATTTACTGGCATCACTACTTCCATGTGTACTACAGATGCCTCGGCTGAGTTATATTAGAAGAAGCAATTTTATTCCTACATTTAAAATGGCCGTTTTAATGCAAAATACCTACTTTAAGGCATGGTAAAGTACTAAATGACGAGAACCCCATTCGGGCACTGCAGAACTATGGGGCTTGTCTCTCAGCTCCCTGGTCAGCCTCACGTTTTGGGAAAAGACCAAGGCTTTTGCTATTAGAATTGGACTCTGATAACAGAATTTTTGTACTCATTGAACTTCCACGATAGCAATAACCTTGTCGCCTCTCTGCTTTCCCAAGGCAATCGTCTTAACTCCCTTACCAGGGTAACCCACAAAGCTGCACCCGCGCAGGGCGCAGGTTACTGCGTGGCAAACCAGAGGCCACGACACTATTGCAGTAAGCTGGATACTTTTGGCCCTGCCGGCAGCAGAAACACACACAAAGCTATGTTTCTGTCAGGAGATGGTAATAAAAAGTAACATAAGGCTCGCGAGCGGTAAACCCTTTCGGACTTGCTCTCAGGGGTGCCAAGGGCGGCTTTTTAGCACTCTGCCCGAGGCGGGCACGGCCGACGCCTCCGCAGGGCCGGCTTTGCTCCCCGGCTCCACAGCACCGACACGGGTCCGGGCGCCCCAACCCCAGCGGTGCGGCGGGAGCCCGGCGCCGGCCTTGGCCCAGGCGGCAGCGAGACGCGGCCCTGAAGCGCCCCGCGTCACCGAGGCGGCGAGGGACGGCGGCCCTCCCCGGGGCTCTCTCCCCGCGGGGGTGCAGGGCCGGGGCCGCCCTCACAGGGCCCCCAGCCCCCCCCGGGG